TTCTAAGAAAAAAGGGGTCACTGTACATTGGCCAAAAGTCTTGACAGGTATCTATCTCAGGAGGGTAGGAATTATCAGTAACTATAATTCACAGATGAGGAAACTGAGGCTAAGGTAATCTCACTGCCTGACACTCAAATTCCTGAACACCTGTGGGTGAGGCACTGTGTTGGGCCCTTAAAGATGGTATCTGTGTGCCAGCTAAGAGCAACAGATAAGGCCAAGCACACCAGGTGACAGTTAAGACTCTGACACCTTGCTTAAACTTTTGGACTTCAGTTCTTCACAGGGCTGCTGAAGGGTTAAAGGAACTAAGGTGCGTCAAGTGTCCAGCATGGTATCTAGCGTACAGCAGAGACTTAGCAGGTATTTGATTCTAATCTCAGTCTTAAGGATGAGAGATACAGGGCCAGAAAAGGTCCCTGAGCAAAGATGAGGAGGAGGGTAGGACCAAATCCTGTCCCTTCTTCTCTGACTTCAAGAGCCAGTGTCCTTGTGAGAATATGTGGTCCTGTGGGTCCCTTCAACCCAAAACAAACATACATGAGGCGCTTGGCCAGGGCCGGGTGGATGCGGAGGCCCCAGAGGGGGCTTTTGTAGTTGAGACCATTGCAGCCAAATTCTACTTAACAGGCAGGAAAGTCCAAGAGTTTTACCCTGGGGTTCCAGTAACCTGTTCATCCAGCTGCCTGTCTCCCTTTTAACCCCTACTGCTTTTTCTTGGGGGCTGGAAAGTTGTGAAGAGGGTTTCCCGTATTGCAGTGATGTACAGAGGTCAGCTCTGGGAGGAACCATTGTCTCCGTACCTCTTCATGCTCAGCACCTTTATTTAATTGTCTTTTCCTGAGGCCTGGGGATTCCTGGGGCAGGCATCTAGTCCTTTGTTTTTCCCAGCACCCAGCATATTGACCAGAAAGCAGAAATTGTTTGCTGAATGAAGCAATGAATTACATTTCAGCATTCAGCAGGTGCTTAGTCTGCACAGGCTCCTAAAACTTACCTTTCCCTTGGAAGAACCTCACAGCCACCCCTGTTCATTGTGCCACAGGTGAGGAAACTGAGGCTTGGGGCTGTTAAGTGACTGGCTCAAGCCCAGACAGGGGCAGCTCTGAAGCCCTCAGGTTGGTCTGTGGGAAAGTAAAATGTTGAGAGGAGCCTTGATGAATTGGGGCAATTGGCAGGGGGTAATTGTCAGTCAGAAATGCTTAGCTCAAATTATTAGGTGTGAAGAAGGAAACAGTCAAAGCTTCCCCACTGAATTGCCCAGATGGGGTTGGCAGGAATGACTCCTTAGCAGAGCAAGGGCTGGTCCCTGTAGGGCAGGACCCTGTGGTGTAGACCCAGCTTTTCTCCGGCTGGTCCTAGTGCACAGAACACTACCAACCTTACTTTGTACCTGGGAACCTTCAGAGTACCTCAGAGGCCCCCTGGGGTAATAGTTGGAGTGCGGGGGTGGGGGTGGGGGCGCATTACTTTGGTTCCAGGGGACATCTTCCCTCTAAGAAAGCCTGCTTGGTGTCTTGGCAGGGGCTGCATCCCAGCACCTACACGGTGTGCTATGGACCTGTTTACTTGTGTGTCTCCAGGGCTGGACTGTGGGCTTTGGAGAGTAGGAGATTAGGGGCACCCTGAACTCCTAGTCTACTGGGGCCAGTCTCCGGGAGAAAGGTGGAGAAGGATTAAGGGTGGCGTTTAGGGACTCCCGTGCCGACGCCGCGCAGGACAAGGCCAAAAGCGGCCTTTCTCCCAAGTGGGCTCACGGCTAACAGATAGAAGGGCTGCGGGTAAACACTCCACTGGGGCAATAATTATGCACATTTACTAAGCCCAGGGAGGACTCATGGTCACGTGGCTCTCGAGGGCGGCGCCCTCAGCTTTGAGATGGAGTTAACTCTAATCACAGAAGGCTTTCTGGAGGAGGCGGGATTTTTATGGCGGTAGGTTATGGTTTTCTCTCAACAGCCAGGATGCCCTTAGCACTTTAGGTTAACAACTAGCTGCAGAGGTGAGCTTTTTGCCGGGGTTCAAGCCCAGGGGGCGACGAAGTCAGAGAGAACTGGGGGAAGGGCTTAGGGGGCCGGAGTCTCGGGGTGAGGCTGGGTTTGGTTTCCTTGACCTGTCCTTACGCCGTCTTTGATGGTTGGACGCGTCGCGGCCGCTCTAGGCCAGAGCTGCGGGGCCCCGCGCGCTGGTTGCAGGCCTCGAGTTCCAAGACGCCCTGGGAGCAGACAGCACACCAGGCCGAGGATTAGGCGATTAGGCCATTAGGCCCGGCTGGGCCAGCCCGGCGGTCCGCCCTCCCAGCGCAGTTCCGCCGGGGTCCCGAAGCCCGGCTCGCAGGGGCGAGGCGCGCGCTCCCGGGGGATCAGGGCTGCGGAGCAAGCGGCCTGCGCTGGGCGGCTGTGGCACGAGAGGGCCATCTGCCTGGGTGCGGAGAACTGCAGCGTCCGCGGTGCGAGGCGCGGCCCCTCCGGGCCCCCAGCTCGCGTCCCCTGCCCCGCGCGCACACACCTACTGACGCCCGCCCGCGCCTGCGGCCCGAGTCCCCGTGCCAGGCCCAGACCCAGACTAGGCGCGGGAGGCGGTGCAGGGATTAGTGGACCCCTCCCCCCAGCGCTCCCCTCGCCCCGCCCGAGGCAGCGAGGACCCCTGGGCTCGGGGGTGGTGAGGGAGCTTCGTCCCGGTGGTGCCCGGGCTGGGGACACGGCCTCACTGGGCGGGGGCCGCACGGCGGCAGGCCGAGGTGCGGGCGCGCAGTCAGGCTGCTACCCGGCTCCGGTGCGGGGGGTGGGCTCGGCGCGGGGGTCGCCTGGCCTCATCCCCCGGCCGACGCCACGGCCGGGCAGGCAGTGCCCGGGCGGGTAACCCGACCCGACCCGGCTCCCGATCGCCGCTCACCCCGCAAGGCCGGGCAGGGGGAGGGAGAGAAATAGGGAGGAGGGGGAAGGGAAGGGGTGGTGGGTGAGGGGCTGTGGGGACCGCAGGGCCGAGTCCCCAGCCTGACTGCGCTGCTCTAGGGCGGCTGCCTGTTTTCCCCGGAACGAGCCAGCCCCCTGCTTCGCGGGCGTCGGGCCTGCGGCAGGAGGGAGCCCTGGGGCTGCACAAGCTTGGCTCTGGGAGGCAGACCCGAGCTGCTGCCTCCATTTTGTTTCCTGCTCAGCTTGGTCTGTGGTGGTGGTGGTGTGGGTTTGGGGTGCGGCTGGGCAGGGGGTTCACCTGCGGCCACGCCTGCTCGGGGCCTGAGGCTTCGAAGACCCCAGCCCAAGCCCCCAGGTGAGCCCCGCGGTAGGAGGGGGGTTGCCTTGGCCTCGGGCCGAGCCGAGCGAGCTGAGGGCAGGTGCCCAGTGGATGGGGAGCCGGGCTGTAACCTAAGATGGAGGCTGGGACTGACGCGGGCCCGAACGGGGCTGGCTGGGCGGTCGGACAGGCCTCAGCCGGGCCAGGTGCCGCCGGGGATGGGGCTCGAGACGGGTAGGGTTCAGGAGCCGTGTGCAGCCCGGGGCCAGCGTAGCGCCCTGAGGTAGGTGAGGGGATCTGAGTGCCACCCACGACGCCCGCAGGCCCAGACACTCCGGGGAGGCGCGCGAGGCCCCTGGGGAGCCTGCCTCAGGCCCCGCCCGGGCTGCCGGG